TGCCTCAGCCTCCCAAAGTGCTGGGATTACAGGCGTGAGCCACCGCGCCCGGCCATAAAAAACATCTTTGCCAGTTTTAATAAGCAACAAATTCATTACATGTTCTTATTTTAATTTAATTGAATTACTTTGGAGTTGATCTTTTTTTTTTTTTTTCCAGCTTTATTAAGATATAATTGACAAATAAATTGCATGTGTTGGCCAGGCATGGTGGTTCATGCCTGTATTCCCAGCACTTTGGGAAGCTGAGGCTGGCATATCAATTGAGGCCAGGACTTTGAGACCAGCCTGGCCAATACTGGTGAAACCCCGTCTCTACTAAAAACATAAAAAATTGGCCTGGCGAGGTGGCTCATGCCTGTAATCCCAACACTTTGGGAGGCCAAGGGGGTCGGATCATGAGGTCAGGAGTTCAAGATCAGCCTGACCCGACCAACATGGTGAAACCCCGTCTCCACTAAAAATACAAAAATTAGCTGGGCATGGTGGTGCGTGCCTATAATCACAGCTGCCTGGGAGGCTGAGGCAGGAGAATCCCTTGAACCAGGGAGTCGGAGGTTGCAGTGAGTGAGCTGATGCCTTTGCACTTCAGCCTAGAGAGAGAGTGAAACTCTGTCTAAAAAAACAAAACAAAAGGGCCGGGCGCGGTGGCTCACGCCTGTAATCCCAGCACTGTGGGAGGCCGAGGCGGGTGGATCACGAGGTCAAGAGATCGAGACCATCCTGGTCAACATGGTGAAACCCCGCCTCTACTAAAATTACAAAAAATTAGCTGAGCATGGTGGCGCGTGCCTGTAATCCCAGCTACTCAGGAGGCTGAGGCAGGAGAATTGCCTGAACCCAGGAGGCGGAGGTTGCGGTGAGCCGATCGCGCCATTGCACTCCAGCCTGGGTAACAAGAGCGAAACTCCGTCTCAAAAAAACAAAACAAAACAAAACAAAAGAACCAAAACATTAACCAGGCATGGTGGTGCATACCTGTAGTCCCCAGCTGCTCAGGAGGCTTAGGCATGAGAATTACTTGAACCTAGGAGGTAGAGGTTGTAGTGAGTTGAGAGTGTGCCTCTGCACTCCAGCGTGGGCGACAGAGAGACTTTGTCTCAAAAAAAATAAACCACAAAAGAAAAAGGAATTGTATATATTTATGGTGTACAGTATGTTTTGGTTTTCATTTCTTTTACTAATGAGGGTGAGTAACAAATTGCCCCTTAATTTGTTACTTGCCTTGGTCTTCCTTTTTTTTTGTCTTGTTTTTGATTTGTAGATTTTATTTGTATGTTAAGAATGTTACTCCTTTATCATGTAGTAACTATTTTTTCCCAGTCTGGTAGATTTTTTTCTTTATCTTACAAAGATATAAAGGTATGATTTACATATAGTAAAATTCACTTTTTGTTTGTTCATTTTTGGGGGGTGGTGTTCGGAGTTTTGCTCTTGTTGCCCAAGCTGGAGTGCAGTGACCTGATCTCAGCTTACTGCAATGTCAGCCTCCTGAGTAGCTGGGATTATAGGCATGTACCACCACACTCAGCTAATTTTGTATTTTTAGTAGAGAAGGGGTTTTTCCATGTTGATCAGGCTGGTCTCAAACTCCTGACCTCAGGCCATCTGCCCCCTTTGGCCTCCCAAAGTGCTGGGATTACAGGCATGAGCTACTGTACCCAGGCTTTTTTTTTTTGAGATTGAGTCTTGCTCTGTCAGCAGGCTAGAGTGCAGTGGTGCAATTTTGCCTCACTGCAACCCCTGCCTCCTGGCTTCAAGCGAGTCTCCTGCCTCAGCCTCCCGAGTATCTTGGATTCTAGGTGCACACTACCACACCCAGCTAATTTTTTTTGTATTTTTAGTAGAGATGGAGTCTCACCATCTCGACCAGGTTGGTCGCCATCTCTTGATCTGGTGATCCGCCCGCCTCGGCCTCCCAATGTGCTGGGATTACAGGAGTGAGCTACCTCACCCCCAGCGTTTTTTTTTTTTTTTTTTTTTTTTTTTTTTTTTTTTTTTTTGTTTGTTTTTTTTTTTTTTTGTGAAATTTTATAAAAATTTATTTAAAAAAATTATTTTATTTTTTTTCCTTTTTTTTTTTTTTTTGTGAGATGGGGTCTTGCTCTGTACCTCAGGCTGGAGTGCAGTGGTGTGATCTCACAGCTCATTGCAACCTTGAATCATGAACTCAAGGGGTCCTCTTCCCTGAACCTTTCAGAGTTCTAGGATTACAGGTGTGAGACACTTCCCCAAGCTCCCCCTCTCCAAGTTTTTCTTTTTATTAGACAGAGTCTTGCAATGTTGCCCAGGCTGGAGTGCAGTGGTGTGATCATAGTTCATTGCAACCTTGAACTCTTGAACTCAAGGGATCCTCTTGCCTCAGCCTCCCAAAGTGCTGGGATTACAGGCATGAGCATCTGGTCCTCTATCTAATTTTAAAATTTTTATTTAAGCATTAAAAGTTTATTTTTTAATTTTTTTGAGGCGGAGTTTTGGTCTTGTTGCCCAGGCTGGAGTGCCATGGTGCGATCTCAGCTCGCTGCAACCTCCTCCTCCCAGGTTCAAGCGATTCTCCTGCCTCAGCCTCTCAAGTAGCTGGGATTATAGGTGCCTGCCACCATGGCTGGCTAATTTGTTGTTGTTGTTGTATTTTTAGTAGGAACCGGGTTTCACCATGTTGGCCAGGCTGGTCTCGAACTCTTGACCCCAGGTGATCCACCCATTTCGACCTCCCAGAGTTCTGGGATTACAGGTGTGAACCCCTGCACCCAACCTCTGTGTATTACTTCTTTCATTTGAGCCCTTTGAGAGTTAGTTACGTAGCATATATTCCTAAGAATAAGGCCATTCACTTACATAAACACGGCAAAGTTAAATTCAGTACAGGGAATTTAAGCTTAATTTAGGATGCTTATCTACAGTTTCTATTCCATGTTTTCCTGCCCATAATGTGGTCTAGGACCAGACATTGCATTTAATTTTGAAGTAGATGGTGTGGCTAATTCTTTTGTAGAATGTTTGTCTATTTGAGTTCATTGGAGTTTCCTTCTTAGATTCAGGTTGTGTGTTGTAGCTGGCAACTACTGTATAGTCTATATCTCAGTGAAATCCAAATTATGTATTCTTGTGTCTTACAGGGAAGCCTTCTGACCAGCTGGCCCTCTGGCCCTCCTACCATGAAGGAGGAGGAAAGCAGTGAGGAGGAACCTACAGCAGCCACCACTTGGAAGGAGCAGGAGCCCATCCCTACAGATCTGGATGCAGTGCGAACACCAGAGCCCTTGGAGGAATTCCCGAAGCGTGAGGACCAGGAAGGCTCCCCGCCGGAAATGAGCCTGCCCTACAAGTGGGTGGTGGAGGCTACAAATCTCCTCATCCCTGCCGTGGGTTCTAGCCTCTCTGAAGCCCTGGACTTGATTGAATCGGTATGTTGGTCGCAGCACTTCGCAGTTGCACAGAGCACTCCTGGTAGGAAGTGCTTCTCTTGCGGGCCCACATCCTTTTGCCCATTCTGTCGCTAACAGTTACTGACTTCATGCTGAGTGGCCAGCCCTGACTCGAGGGCTGGGGACACCAGGGTTGTCACCATGCAGTCCCTGTTCCTAGGGAGCTCCCAGTGTGTGCAGTGGAGTTTGTGGTGGCATATGACTTCTATGTATGGCACAGGGTGGGGTGGGAAGGTTGCCCAGAGGAGGTGTCACTGCACTGAGCCCTAAAGGTTGACTGGCAGGTGACAGCACAGGACAGCGTGGTATTTGTGACATTACACATGGTTGGGCCTCCCTGAAGAGGTCCCCAGGAAGTGCCAAGGCTTGGTTCTGGTCTTGGAGTGGTGAGTGGGTTCAGGTTACTCGGGGTGGGGCAGGTATTGAGCCCGTGTTGTGGTTACTGTGTAGGCTGTGGGGTTGTGTCCTTTGAGGAGGGCTTCTTGGTGCGACACCCCAGCTTCTGGCTGCATTGGCCAGGCCTGCAGTGTAGAGTGGGGTTTGGGAGGTGAAGACCAGAGGCCTGGTCACTGGGGTGGGGAGTTCGGTATGAGGGACCGCGTTCGCCTTCCCACGTGAGTGTCTGCTGTCCTAGAACATCTACTAACTGCCGGGCTCTGAGCTTCACATACAGTCTGCATGGTATCCTGTGAGGTGTGTCGTTCCTGTTTTATAGGTGAGACTGAGGCTGGGAGAGGTCAAGTAGTATACCCAGGGTTGCACAGCAAGTATGCTTGGTGGTCTTGACTGCCATGCTGTGCTCCCGCTATTACCTGATAGAGGATTGGAGAGCCATCTGCTCAGGCCCTCCTTCACTCTAGGTCTCACCTCTTGACCCCAGTGGCTGGGACCGCAACCAGCTGCAGGGTCTGTCTGTGGTGCCTCCACCTCCAGGGGGTTTCGGAGGAGTTTGACAGGCACCAGCACATTCGTGGATTCTCAGCATAGCTCTGAGGCAAGCACTGGATGCCATCTCTCCTGCCAGCCCTGAGGGGAGTGCTAAGATGAGAGTCGATCCCTCTATGCCTGGCACACTGTGTACCACAGCATCACCTCCCTTTACCTCAGACCGTTCTGTTTCCTTTTGCTTGCCAGGCACAGCTCACTTGTATTGAGCACCCACTGATTGTCGTACCTGATGCTTAATGAGTAATGACAGTACCTAACATTTGAGTGCTTGCCACATGCCAGGCCCTTCACTTGCTACCTAATGTGTGGGTTCTTCATTGGTCTTTGACAACCTGTGAGGTGGGTAGTGAGCACCCCACGCTCAGAGAGGCCAGGAGACTTGACCAGTGTCACACAGCTGGTGCCCTCCGGGAACAGCAGTCAGACCCTGCTGTCTGGCTCAACACTCAGGCTATTTCCACAATGATCTTCTTCATCTTTTGGGGGAGTTACTGCATGTGTGGAAATTCCGTCCTCCCTTCCCTGCTCTGTCCACTCCAGGTGGTCCTTGTAGGATCTACTTCTCGTCTACCAGACGCCTGCAGTGCTGGGACCACCCTCAGGTTGGGGTGTGGGCCTGAGGTCGGACCTGCCCCCAGGTGGCCTTCACCTTTGGGAGTGAACTGTCCCAGGCTCCTGTAAGTCCTGGGAACCAGAGCTTGCCATTAGCACTGGGATCCACTCAGAGGCCAGATCCCCACAGACCAAAGTGGAAGCCTCTGTGTCCAGAAGACTTTTGGTTTGTGTTGTGATTTATTGAGTCAAAGAGGGAAAACCTGGAGTGATTCACGGGCTTCTTAGAAGCTGAGTAACTTCAGGGAGACCGAATCCCCTTAGCTCATCTTCCTTGGTATGAAAGCGAAAGCTCATCATGGGTCAGGATGGCTAGTGACTTCCCTAGGAGAATTGTAGGGATTGGAAACAACTTTTGTGAGCTGCCCCAAGGAGGTACCAATGATGAGCGACATCCCATTCAATGCTCTGTATTTCATTCTATAAAAATAATGGGCAGGTGTGGTGCTGTGGTTCATGCCTATGCTCCCAGCACTTTGGGAGGATCATGTGAGCCCATGAATTCTAGACCAGCCTGGGTAACATAGTGAAGCACTGTCTATAAAAAAGCTTTTACAAAAATTAGCCAAGGCCAGGCACGGTGGCTCACACCTGAAATCCCAGCACTTTGCAGGCTGAGGTGGGTGGGTCATGAGGTCAGGAGTTTGAGACCAGCTTGGCCAATATGGTGAAATCCGTAACCCGTCTCTACTAAAAATACAAAAATTAGCTGGGTGTGGTGGCACACACCTGTAGTCCTAGCTACTTGGGAGGCTGAGGCAGGAGAACTGCTTGAACCCAGGAGGTAGAAGTTGCAGTGAGTGGAGATTACGCCACTATACTCCAGCCTGGGTGACAGGGCAAGACTTCATCTAAATAAATAAATAAATAAGTAAATGAAAATAAGAAATAAATTAGCCAAGAGTCTTGGTACATGTCTGTAGTCCCAGCTACTCAGGAGGCTGAGGTGGGAGGATCACTTGAGCCCAGGAATTCAAGCCTGCAGTGAACTGTGATTGTGATTGTGCTACTGTACTCCAGCCTGGGCAACAGAGACCCTGTCTTTTTAAGGAAAAAAAGAATGTATGAAAATATAGATGTACAGTCATAGAAAACTCTGAGGAAATGTGTGAGATATTAATGATTAGTCCTGGGCTGTAGGTTTATACTTGACACTTACATATTTCCCTTAATGGACAAATCCTCTTGTATTAAAAGGAGAGTAATTGCAATTTTAACCTCCCTCCCTGGACAGGACCCCGATGCTTGGTGTGACTTGAGTAAATTTGACCTCCCTGAGGAGCCATCTGCAGAGGACAGTATCAACAACAACCTGGTGCAGCCGCAAGCGTCACATCAGCAGCAGGTCCTGCCACTCCGCCAGCCTGCTGCCCCAGTGCCCAGCGTGACCGAGTACCGCCTGGATGGCCACACCATCTCGGACCTCAGTCGGAGCAGCCGGGGCGAGCTGATCCCCATCTCCCCCAGCACTGAAGTTGGGGGCTCCGGCATTGGCACGCCGCCCTCAGTGCTCAAGCGGCAGAGGAAGAGGCGTGTGGCTCTGTCCCCTGTTACTGAGAATGGCACCAGTCTGTCTTTCCTGGATTCCTGTAACAGCCTCACCCCCAAGAGCACACCTGTTAAGACCCTGCCCTTCTCACCCTCCCAGGTGCGTGGACCCCACTCTGGCTATTTATTGGGTCGGTACAGACACCTGGTGTTCAGTGCTGGGGGCATGGGTGAGCAAACCAGACCTGGCTCTGCCCTCATGCAGCTTAGGCTCTGATAGGAAGACTAGTTAACTAAACAAGACCCAGAAATGTGAGAGGCAGGATGAAGGAGAAGGCTTATGGTGCTGCATACATGTATCTAGTGTGGGCAAGTCCAGGAAGACTACCAGGAGGAGAGGAGGAAGAGGGGGATGGTGGTAACTGGGTAATGAAGGGGAAGAAAAGAACTGTTTGTTCAGTCCATTTATGGAACCTATTTCATAGCAGACTTGCTAGCATTGGGGAGCAAAGATGAAGATGATAGGGTGTCCCCAGTGCTGGGAAGACCTGGGATATAGCCAGTGCTGAGGATAGGCTTGTAATGTATTAATCAGAATAGAGTGTGGGTGGTGCCATGGTGATAGCAATTGCAAAGTCACTGAGAACTCACTGTTACAGGTGTTGCTCCTGGGTGCTCTGTTAGGCACCACAGAGCCTCAGGGGAGCCGGGGACGGGTGCCAGGGTCTCTCTGAGATAAAGGTCGTGGGAGGCACCTGGTCTTCCTGCAGAGACAGTGTCTGGGCTGGGTCTCCTTGAGCACCTTGACCAAAGGCACAGAAAAGGAAGGGCAGAGTGGAGGTGTGGAGTTCAGGGCTAGGAGTGGTGGGTGGCGCAGGGCCTTGGTGGGCTTAGGTATAACCTAGGTCTTTGGCTCTCGTTAGGTCTGCTCTTCTCGTGATGTTGTGGGAGAGAGCAAGGCTCTGAGGTGGCCTGGTGCAGGAGGCGACCCTGTCATCACGGGTCAGGATGGCTAGTGGCATTTTGAAAGGGACCCTGTATTGGTTTGCTCCGGCTGCTTAGCAGAGTACCACAGACTGCGTGGCTTTGACAACAAATTTAGCAGTGTTGGTTTCTTCTGAGGCCTCTCTCCTTGGCTTGTAGATGCTGGCTCATGCTGTGTTTTCACATGGTTGCCTGTGTCCTAATCTATTGTCTTTTAAAACCTCCTATTTTGTAACATTATAAGGATACCAGTTACTGGATTAGGGCCCACTCTAATGACTTTAACTTACCACTTTATTTTATTTTATTTTTTTGAGATATAGTCTCACTCTTGCTCAGGCTGGAATGCAGTGGCATGATCTCAGCTCACTGCAGTGTCCACCTCCTGGGTTGAAGCAATGCTCCCACCTCAGGCTCCTGAGTAGCTGGGATTATAGGTGCCCGCCACCCATGCCTGGTAAAGTTTTGTTTTGTTTTTTGTTGTGTCTTTTTTTAGATGGAGTCTCGCACTGTTGCCTGGGTGGGTATGTGTGCAGTGGTGTGGTCTCAGCTTGCTGCAACCTCTGCCTCCCAGGTTCAAGTGAGTCTCCTGCCTCAGCCTCCCGAGTAGCTAGGATTACAGGCACCTGCCATCATGCCCAGCTAATTTTTTGTATTTTTAATAGAGACAGGATTTGACTATGTTGGCTAGGCTAGTCTCAAACCCCTGACCTCATGATCCGCCTGCCTCAGCCTCCCAAAGTGCCTGGATTACAGTCGTGAGCCACCTCGCCCAGCTGAAGTTTTGTGTTTTTAGTAGAGGTGGTTTAACCTTGTTTGTCGGCCTGTAACTTACCACATTATTTATGAGACAGAGTCTTACTCTGTCTCACTCTCGGCTCCCTGTAACCTCCGCCTCTGGGGTTCAAGCAATTCTCCTGCCTCAGCCTCCCGAGTAGCTGGGATTACAGGTGCTCACCACCACGCCCGGCTAGTTTTTGTATTTTTAGTAGAGATGGAGTTTCACCATGTTGGCCAGGCCAGCCTCGAACTCCTGACCTCAGGTGATCTGCCCACCTCGTCCTCCCGAAGTGCTGGGATTGCAGGGGTGAGCCACTGAGCCCAGCCTAACTTACCCCTTTAAAGGCCCTATCTCGGCCGGGTGTGGTGGCTCACGCCTGTAATCCCAGCACTTCGGGAGGCCGAGGTGGGTGAATCACCTGAGGTCAGGAGTTCCAGACCAACCTGGCCAACATGGTGAAACCCCATCTCCTTTTCTCTTTTTTTTTTTTTTTTTTTTGAGACGGAGTTTTGCTCTTGTTACCCAGGCTGGAGTGCAATGGCACAATCTCGCTCACCACAACCTCCGCCTCCTGGGTTCAGGCAATTCTCCTGCCTCAGCCTCCTGAGTAGCTGGGACTACAGATGCACGCCACCACACCCAGCTAATTTTTTGTATTTTTAGTAGAGACGGGGCTTCACCATGTTGACCAGGATGGTCTCGATCCACCCGCCTCGGCCTCCCAAAGTGCTGGGATTACAGGCTTGAGCCACCGCGCCTGGCCTGAAACCCCATCTCTAAAAAAAATAATAATAAAATAAAATGAAGTAAAAAAATAAAGGCCCTGTCTCCAAGTATTAATACAGTCCCACTCTGAGGTGCTGAGAGTTGGGACTTAAGGATGTAAATTTGAGGGAGACGCAGGTCAGCCTTTAACATGCTCCAAGTGAGGGCTGCTGGCGGGAGAAGGAAGACCCTGGGGCCCTGAGCTGCTATTTGGGAAGCTCAGGATGATGGAGTGCAGTGGCCGCCCTGCTCCAGAGACCCCATTTAGGGTAGAGGCCCTGAGGGTTGCAGATGGCTCTCTATTATAGCACTTTCAGGGCAGGAAGGGAAGAGAGGGTGGTGCTTCAAAGGATGGATGGATGGTGACTTAGATCTAGATATGAGTCTCACCTCTATTACTCAGCACAAGACTCAAAACCTCTAAGCCTTGGTTTTCTCATCTGTAAAAGGGGATAGTAATGGTGCCTGTGTCTCAGGATTTGTGGGAACTAAATGAAATTATTTGTGTGAAATGCTTAGCCCTGGCAAGAGAAGGTGCTCTCTAATTGGTAACCCCTCTGCCACCAGCATCACTACAGCCCTCACATTCCCTGTGCCTTCACAGGTCAGTTCAGAGCTAGTTTTATTTCTTCTGTGAAGGAGTCGCTCTCCCGCAGTTGGCTTCCTGTGCTTTAACTGCCTTGTCAACACTCAAGGGTAGAGATGGCAAAAGCTAGTATTAGGGTGACAGAAGTGCAGAGGTCTATGTGAACCTGCTTGGTGGCCTCCTGCCATCGATCTGTCTCAGTCCTTGTCCTCTAGTGTCTGATGGGTCAGGAGGGGACCTCAGTGTCAGAGAGCAGATGTTCTGGGGGAGGGACTCAAGGGTCTGTCTCTTCCCATGACCCGCTGAGGCCTCAGGAGTCCACAAGTAGGTTATCATTTTGTCTTGTTCCCTCTCTCTTCTTCGGCAGTTTCTGAACTTCTGGAATAAACAGGACACATTGGAGCTGGAGAGCCCCTCACTGACATCCACCCCAGTGTGTAGCCAGAAGGTGGTGGTCACCACACCACTGCACCGGGACAAGACACCCCTGCACCAGAAACATGCTGCGTGAGTGCTGCATTGCCCCCCACCTTCCTCTCCTCTCCCTCAGCAATGCCACACCATGGGCCTCAGGACCACTGGTGGAACAGTGGGGAGGGAGCACCCTTGGAATACCACTGGAGACTGTTTTAAGGAAGCCCTCTCGTTTCTGGCCACCACGATTTACCATTTTTGTCAGTATTGTCTGGGGCTCCACCTTTGCTTTTCCTCATTTGTAGTTTTTAATTTAATAGTTTCCTTTTTTGTGATCCTCCTGCCTCAGCCTCCTAAGCACCTGGCACTACAGGTGCATGCCACCATGCTCAACTAATTAAAATTTTTTAAGAGGCGAGGTCTTGCTACTTTGCTTGGGCTGGTCTTAAACTGGCCTCCAAGTGATCCTCCTGCCACAGCCTCCCAAAATGCTGGGATTATAGGTGTGAGCTATTGCACCTGGCCTGCATTTCATAATTTTCTATCTTAGGAAAATAGATAGTCCAAATTAGCCTGAAAAACATAATCTCTTCCCCTTTGTAAGGTTTCAAGTGCAAATTTATTGTGTTTGAGCAGCCTATGTGCAGGACGAAAGTGTCCCACTCTCTCTGTCAGGAGTGGAGGCCACATTCCTGCTGAGCTTACGGAGCACAGCGTTTTCTGTCTGGAAGCCTGTACAGGTTGCTCGCTAACTTGCTTTCATGGAGGTGCTTGTAAATAAGTTTACCTACTTGGGTCATCATGATTCTGAATTCCAGATGGAGACAGTTGCTTAACTATCTATTCCTCTGCTTAATACATTTGCTGGAGGAGGAAATCACTTTTATTTTGTGATTCAGAAATAAGCTCAGGAATTTTAGCCCTGATGATGATACATAATTTTGGGAAAAGATTTGTGAATCCCTTAGTCAGAAATCAGTCTCCAATGTCTGGCTCAGTGGCTCACTCTTACAATCCCAGCACTTGGGAGGCTGAGGTGGGAGAATCACTTGAGACTAGAGTTTAAGACCAGCTTGGGCACAACATAGGGAGACCATGTCTCTACAAAAAAAAATTTTTTTGAGATGGAATCTCTGTGTCTTCCAGCAGGAGTGCAATGGTGCGATCTTGGCTCACTGCAACCTCTGCCTCCCGGGTTCAAGCCATTCTCCTGCCTCAGCTTCCTGAGTAGCTGGGACTATGAGTGCGTACCACCATGCCTGTATTTTTAGTAGAGACAGGGTTTCACTGTGTTGGTCAGGCTGATCTTGAACTCCTGACCTCGTGATGTGCCTGCCTCGGCCTCCCAAAGTGCTGGGATTACAAGTGTGAGCCACTGTGCCTGGCCTCTCCCTGAGGGTTTTTTTTTTTTTTTTCTTCAAAGATGGAGTCTTTCACTGTTGCTCAGGCTGGAGTGCAATCAATGGTGCAATCTTGGCCCGCTGCAACCTCTGCTTCCCAGGTTCCAGTGATTCTCCTGCCATGGCCTCCCGAGTAGTTGGGATTTACAGGTGCCTGCCACCAAGCCTGGCTAAGTTTTGTATTTTCAGTAGAAACACAGTTTTGCCATTTTGGTCAGGCTTATCTCGAACTCCTGACCTCAGGTGATCTGCCCACCTTGGCCTCACAAATTGGTGGGATTACAGGCGTGAGCCTCCGTGCCCGGCCTCCTTGCATTTTCTAATGTGTGTATATACTCTTTTTTTGTGAAACAAGGTCTCTCTTCCTCACTCAGGCTGGAGTTCAGTGGTGCAGTCATGGCTCACTGCAGCCTCAAATTCTGGGCTTGCGTGATCTTCCTGCCACAGCCTCCTGAGTAGCTGAGACTACAGGGAACAGCAGGCCTGGCTGATTTTTTAAATTTTTAGTAGAGATGGAGTTTCTCTGTGTTATCCAGGCTGTTCTTGAACTCATGGCCTCAGATGATCCTCTCATGGATTGCAGGTGTGAGCCACTGCCTTTGGCCATGTGTCATGTGTGCTCTTAGTCCTTGTTAATGCCACAAATTAGAGAGGTTCTGGAACTTTCTCATGTTTCTTAGAAATGCTGTGTCCCATCGAGATGCTTGAGTGGCTCAGATTCCCCTCTTTGAGTTGTGGTTTGAACTGTGAGATGTGTATATTTGACCTGTTGCTTATCTGTCTTCACTCTTCCTTACAGAGGGGGATCTCTGTGTCCCAGGTGGGGGATAACAAGGGTTTGGGAAGAGACTGTGGATCCTGCCTAATCTCTAGGTGCTGAGGAAGGAAGAAAAGAATGGTCTGCGCTTGTTCTAGCTTTTTATCTCCCCACGGAGTGGCTGGCCAGCTGCAGGAAGTGGAGGCGGCCAGGCCCCAGGCTGCTGTGTCTAGGAGTTGGCCTCTTCACTCGAGTCCCTGGCTACCTGGGATGTTTCTCTCATCCTTTAAATGCCCTGGTTATGCCACGAGAGTCAGCTATGGTGGCATCTCCAGGTGACTAAGGTCACGTACTAGCATAACGGCTTGTTTGTGGAAGCTGGTAGCTTCCATCAGAGCTGACATTTGACATTTGCCCACAGCCAGCTTGGCCCAGCCCCGTACTGTAAGCCCTGGTTCTCTGGGGTGTGAGGTGCCTCTTCTGATCCCCACTGCAAGGGCAGGCAGAAATCACCCATGGCGGGTCCACATCTCATAGAAGCATCTTACAGTTCTGCTTCTGGACCAGACCGTCCTGGGTTCCTCTCTGCTCTGCTGAAGGGTTCCCTCTGTGTGTCCATCACCTCAGTGAACTCTTGGGAGACCTGGGGAGATGCTGGCCTTGCCTTGTGCCCCACCTTTCCCTCATTGTGCTGCCATCATCCTGCTTACCACAGGCTCTCCAGGGAGAGCTGGGCAGGGATGGGATCTTCCTGGGTTCCCGCCTTGCTCCGTGCCCGTCATACTGTTCCTGAAGTGTGGCCATGGGCTACCTTGTTTTCTGGAAAGTCCCAAGCCTGGACCGTGACAGAGCAGCATTCTCGGCTCTCTGCCACCCCTCTGGTGCTCCTGGCCCCTCTTAGATTCTCCTGTTCCTTCTGTTTCCCCTGAGCCCCTGACTTTGACCTGCAGGGTGGGGAGAGGGATGGGAAGAGAACCTGTGCTGGGGCCAAAGGTCAGATTGGGGGAAGGTGGAGCCTGGGTAGCAGAGTGCCTGGTGTCAGCCCCTTTCTTGTCACTAATTCCCCCGCTCTGGCCCGTGGCAGGTTTGTAACCCCAGATCAGAAGTACTCCATGGACAACACTCCCCACACGCCAACCCCTTTCAAGAATGCCCTGGAGAAGTACGGACCCCTGAAGCCCCTGGTATGTGGTGTGGTCGCTGCCACAGATCTCTGCACAGTGGGGTCTCTTGGGTTCATCCAACCATGTTCAATCCACAGGACCCTTCTCTCTGAGGTCTCACTTGATTCTTCCTCCTGAGAAGAGGCAGAGATCCTGATAGTATAAATGGGGAAACGGAGGCTGTTCCTTATCACCTCCTCTGTTCCTGAGCAGCTGAATGTGCAGGCACATGCTGGAGACATGGTGGTATCCTGTCACACTCAGCCTCAGGATGGGGGAGACTGATGTGAAACATTATAGCTAAAACAGTTTCAGGCAAAGATAACACTGTGCCTGGTTCAGAGAAGTGGCAGGTTGCTGCTCTGGCCTGTCTTCTGACCAACTCCTGGTTTCCTACAGAGCACTGAAAAGCCCCTCGTGGTTATTCCCCACAGTGTGCAGGCTGCCCTTCTCCCCGCTACTCTTCCCAGTTGATGGGATGGTTGTATTTTCTCTGAAAAAAGGAGTTGGCACCTTGGGCTTTCTGTAACATGCAGGCGTCTTAGAAATCAGTGGAGGGTGAGAGAAAGGCATGGTTGTGGAGGCACTGGACTGTGGACAGGGTCTGCAGTGGATCCCCTGCCCTCTCTGCTGCGTGGAGCCTCCTGTGAAACCCAAGGTGGCTGGGGGCTGAGGCTCCCCTGGGCCTGCGATGGAGTCAAGCAGGCTTTCCAGGGACCCTGCTTGGCAGCTGTAATTAAAGTATGCAGGGGCTTTTTGTGGGACTCCTGAGCATTTGCTGTGCTTCGCACCTTTCACTCTTAGTAGCACCCTCCCTCCCCTGTTCTCTGCTGCCTGAAGCTGGAGAGGTCCTTGGAACCCTGAGAAAGGGAAATGGGTTTGAGAGCCCCCATTAGTGTGGAACAAAGGGTTTAGTGAGCCTGGGCTTTGAGCTGTCTGGGTCCTAATTCAGCAGCTATGTGACTGTGGGCCAGCCTCTTGATCTCTGAGCCTCTGTTTCTACCTGAGTAAGATGACAGTTATCGCACAGGGCTATGGGAGGGTTACTATGTGTCCCTGGGCTGCTCCCAGCCATGGCAGGACCCCAGGAATCAAGGTCATCAGCTGCTTATCCAAGGCAGCAGTTAGTGGTTGTGAATTATGCGTGTGAGATCAACATCCTGGCATCAGGCCTCCTTCCTGCCTTACCCAGGATAGCCCAGCTGCAGCTGGGTTGGCCCCACTGCCCCACGCACATGCAGTCTGAGTGTGGTATCTCACATGGGCTACTGCACGCCTACCCACAGCCACAGACCCCTCACCTGGAGGAGGACTTGAAGGAGGTGCTGCGCTCTGAGGCTGGCATCGAGCTCATCATCGAGGATGACATCAGGCCCGACAAGCAGAAGAGGAAGCCCGGGGTGAGTGGGGTGGGAGTGGGATAGTCCTCCGCTGCCAGCTCGGGCAGGGGAGTGTTGGATTCCTGGCAGCGGGAGGCGTCTGGAGACAGGTAGTAGAAAGTGAGGCGCTGGGGAGAATGGGGGTGCAGCATGTCACCTTTGCCCCCTCTCTCAGGGTGGTTGTTGAGGAAACTGATAAGGTAAGGCAAGGCCAGTGTTGTCTCTGGGAGCCTCCCCTGCTCCTCTTTAAAGGATTCACTCACTTACCCAACATTGTGTTCGGACCCTGCTGAAGTGGGGCTGGGCTGGATGTGGTGGATTGAGCGGCGATTAAGACCCAGATGCTAGACAGATACCCGTGACTGAATTCACAGGGTGCCAAGGGCCACAGAAAGGGAGGTCCCAAGGGAATCCTTCAGATGGAGGCAGCGGTCAGGATGAGGCAGCCAGGCGCCAGGCTGAGTGTCAGGGTGCATGAGCTGGGGGTGGGGGAATGGGTTCAGGCGAGGTGGAGTCTGCAAGGACTCCTGGGCAGGGGGCAGGGAAGGGACTGTCCCAAGCCTCCATCCTATGCCAGACTCCCTTCCACTGCATTGTTCACTTTCGTGACAGTGGGCGATTCCTTCAAGTCTATTTGTATTCCTCTTTTTCCCCAGACTGCTCTCCTCAAGGGAGAGCTGGGAATGGTGGGATATACAAGGGTGTTAGGTAAGGAGGGGAGGTGGGTGGTCATCCAGGGTGGGACTTACTCGGGCTGGCACCCCGTGTGCAGGTGGAGAGATCTTGGCTCCTCACCTCCAGGGCACTCCCTGGCCTCTCCTTGGTGGGGGTGGTGGTTCTGAGCCGTGGCAGCTGCTGCTGGGTGGAGGGGGCTGTCGTTCTCAGAGTCCCTCCCTGGTATTGGAGCAGACCCTGGACCTACTTATGTGAGGTGCAGGGTTAGGGATGGCGCATTCCTTCCTTGTATTAAGCATTTGTAGAGGGGCTTGTCTCGAGGGTTTTATGCTTCCATAAACCTGTGGGTGGTATATTAGGTATTATTGGGATGATTCTCTGCTGGACTGTTTGAGGGGCTGTGTGTGGTCCATTTGGGGTGAGGGCAGGTCACTTTGGTGGAGGCTCATGCTGTGTTCCTGCTCACGGTTGGCAGCACCTGGCAGGACAGGGTCTACCCTGGGCACAGTTTGTAATGGGGTATGGGGCCTAACTTTCCCAGTGCCCCCATTCTTCTCACAGCGGATCCCCACTAGCTGGGACTTGCTGAAAGTCTGCACTGCAGCAGGGCCTGGTTTTGTGACCATCCATGGCCATGACCATCAAGGTGCTGATCATGGGAATCCTGACACCCACCCTAACCCCCTCCTATCTCCCAACCTCCAGGTGCGTCGGAGCCCCGTCAAGAAAGTCCGGAAGTCTCTGGCTCTTGACATTATGGATGAGGATGTGAAGCTGATGATGTCCACACTGCCGAAGGCTCTGTCGTTGGTAAGGGTTCAGCCACCCCCACCCCACTCCAGAGCTGCTCCCAGGAGGATGAGGTCTCCTTGGAAGCCTTCTGCCCTTGGAACTGTTGAGTTTTGGAGAGGACCCTTGAGGTGGAGTTAGTCTGTGCTTCTCCAACTGGGCTTCCGGAACACTGGGCTCTGCAGGGAGGGTGGGTCTGGGCACCCACTCCTGGCTTTAGTCAGCAGCTCTGCTTGTCTCTCACAGAAGGTTTTGTTTGGCAAGAGTTGAGTGGCTAGGATATATTTAAAACCCATGGTTCTGGGTCTCCAGCACCCTCCTTTGCATTCTGTTCATGAGAGTGACCCTAGAGAGGGTCAGTGAGGTCAGTGATGTGTCTTTTTTTTTGAGACAGAGTTTTGCTCTTGTTGCCCAGGCCAGAATGCAATGGCATGATCTTGGCTCACTGCAACCTCTGCCTCCCAGGTTCAAACGGTTTTCCTGCCTCAGCCTCCCAAGTAGCTGGGATTACAGGCATGTGCCACCATGCCCGGCTAATTTTGTATTTTTAGTAGAGACGAGGTTTCTCCATGTTGGTCAGGCTGGGCTTGAATTCCTAACCTGAAGTGATCCATCCACCTCAGCCTCCCAAAGTGCAGGTGTGAGCCACAGCACCTGGCCTAGTGATGTGTCTTAAGGCACAGCCAGGAACTTGGGCACATCTTCCCTGGGATGGGTGCCCTTTGGCCCCCAGGCCAGTGCACTCGCTGTGCCAGGTGCTACAGTCAGGTCGACTTCAGGAAGGGGGCTGTTGCTTGTGCAGAGCCTGAGTCGGCAGAAGCTATGCTGTGCTGCTGATCCCTCTGCCCACAATGGGGTGAGCTGGCTCGCCCTGGCTCAGAGTGGGGAGGCAGTGAGAGGCACGGCGGCGTCATGAACAGAGGTTAAGCGCTGCCCGATCTTCCAAGTAGACTGCTGCCCTCACGGTCCTTGCAGAGAAACCTTGGCCTGGCCAGGGATCCCTGACAGGCTGGGGACTTATGTGCGCTGCAGCCAGATTACTACAAAGAAAGAAGTCACTGCAGGAGGTGAAGAGCACAGATTGAGAGTCAGGTGGGCCTGGGTTTGAGTTCTGACACCATCACTGCCCTTTGGGATCTTTCAGGTTCCCTGAGCCCATTTTTTGCCTATAAAAGGGATGCCAAGCCTAAGTCAGGAAGGCCCAGTGCCAAGCAGAGCAGAGAGCCTGGGAGATGCTTCATGCAACTCTGCTGTGCTTGGGGTGGAAGCCACATCTTGATGATGCTTGTGGATGTTTCTGCGCCCAGGAAAACTAGGAGCAACCTTGGCTTCTCCTGAGACTTCATGTGGTAAAGGCATCATTTATTATTGAGTATGTTATTACTCGATAATGCTCAGTAATAATCTACATTTATTGATCATGTTATTACGGCCTGGGGGCTGCATGGCACCTATCCCAGGGCTCATGTGCCCCCAAGTAACTGACTGTGTCTTAAGACATAACTGAATCAGGCTCTGAAATGCACACAGGTGTTTTTTTTTTTTAACTTGATTTTGTTTTTTTTTTTTTTAAAGACCTTTAGAGCAGGATTAAGTTCTTTAGAAAAGTGTGTATCCTCTTCTAGGTCCCAGCAACCAGGTGGTGGTGCTGGGGTGGGATTATCGGGTTTTTCCTTCCCTTTACCAGTTTGTGGCAAAAAGGTGACTCTTTGACTGGGTTTTGGTTTCAGCCAACAACTGCCCCTTCAAGCTCCTCCAGCCTCACCCTATCAGGTATCAAAGAAGACAACAGCCTGCTCAACCAGGGCTTCTTGCAGGCCAAGCCTGAGAAGGCAGCAGTGGCCCAGAAGCCCCGAAGCCATTTCTCGACACCTGCCCCTGTGAGTGCCGGCCATCCCTGGGGGTCCTGCAGTGCCAGCCTTCTTAGCTCAGGGCCATTGCCTAGACTGTTCTCTGCCTGGATGCTTTTCCTGCTACCTTCCTGTGGCTGCCTTTGCTTAATTTACTCTTCTCTCAGTCTCAATGCCATTTCCTTGGGGAAGCCTTCACTGACCCCACAAACCGTAGAGACACCCAGCGGTTCTCTCTTTTATGCCTGTGTTTCACTTGTTACTAAGCATTATCTTTGTATTTGGTTTGCTTAGTGCATGTCTGCCTTCAGGCAGGGGCCGTCCTCAGGCTGCTGACCCATCTCACTACTCCTCCTGGCTGTGGCTGCTCCTTGAGATGCTGGTGCTGTGTTTGGCAGGTGGGGGGGCAGTGCATGGCCATGTGTCCTTGTCCAGCCTCCTGCTTTTCAGCTGAGGAAGCCCACAGCGAGGGAGTGGCTTATCCAGGGTCACCAGGAATCTGGAGAGAGAATAAGAAGGCTCTGGCTTCTGGGAAGGGAGTCTCGACTCCACCCTTCCCTGGCCAGGGTCACTAGGGTCTGTTGGGAGTACATAGTCCCTGCCTGGGTGGTGACCTTCTTGTCTCCTCCCAGATGTCCAGTGCCTGGAAGACAGTGGCCTGCGGGGGGACCAGGGACCAGCTCTTCATGCAAGAGAAAGCCCGGCAGCTCCTGGGCCGCCTGAAGCCCAGCCACACATCTCGGACCCTCATCTTGTCCTGAGGTGCTGGGGCGGGTCACGAGCCCATTCTCATGTTTACAGGGGTTGGGGGTGCAGAGGGGGTCTGTGAATTTGAGTGTCACTCAGGTGACCTCCTGCAGGGAACCTTCTGCCACCAGCCCCTCCCCAGACTCTCAGGTGGAGGCAACAAGGCCGTGTGCTGCCCTGTCGCCAAGCCCAGCTCTGGGCAGCTCCTGGTGCTAACAGCAAAGCCCCACACCCAGGCCTGCGTGTTCCCTCCCAAAGGCCACAGGGAGCCCAGTCAGCTTCTCCCAAGCCCAGGTCAGGCCTGGCTCATCTCAGACCCTGCTTAGGATCGGGGGCGTGGCCAGGGGTGCTCCTGTGCTCAACCCCAGTTGGTGCATTTTTTTGGAAGAATAAAATTGCCTTTCTCTTTGTGCTGGTCTGGACTCTACCTCTGTCCTGGGCCCTGCCCGTGGTTCCCTGGTGGCCCATGGGCCCTTTCTGGGATGTTGGGACATCCCAGAAATCCCAAGGATGTTGGATGCTCATCCTTAGAGGCCAGCCTTATCTGCACAGCCCAGGCCTGGGCCTTTGACCCTGTTCCCGCCAAGGGGCCCAGTGATCCTTGAGCAATTTCTCTCATCCCTGCATCCAGTGGGCATCTCTGCAAAGCTATGAGTACTCTTGGCCATGGGGTGGGGTGGCAGTGGGCAGAGACTAGGGGCAGAGGAGGACGATGGGTTGGTGCATTAGGGCTTTGTCTGGCCCTTGCCTCAGTGGGCAACGCTGAGCAGGAGGGTGGGACAGGCCAGAGCCTCTACCCTTGTGGCCCTAAATCCTTAATTGTGGTAGCAGTTACAGAGCACAGTGCTTGGCAGGTGGTTGGGAAGAGCCACTGGGGATTAAAGCAGGGAAGATGCCAAGTCCAAGAAGGTTTAAATGAGGAAGTGAGGTTTTCAGCAGCCTGTTTCATGGGACAGACACATGGCCATCCCTATGAGCTCAGGTTGAGCGGACTTGGGGCATGTCCTCACCTGGGGCAAAAGATGTGGCCAACTCAAGGGATGGGGACTGAGTTAATTAGGGTGCCAGGGTTCTGGTGTGTCTGGCCTCAGACACATCCCTCTCTCCCTCTGGAGCTGCCACCTAGGGTCCCCCTACCCCCATCCATCCATACCCAGTCATGCCATGCTTGATCCTGGCAGTGTCCCGGTTCTTGCTCTAAAGCCAAGGAGGGGCGGGGGCTTGGCGCTTCCCACCCTGTACACCACAGCCCATGTGGCTGGGCCTTATGCTCTTGCAGGTTCCATGGATGAACCCATACCTAACTCATGCCCTGAGCTTTTGTGATTTGTCAGCCTGGAGCCTGTCTCCTCCCCAGCTTCTTTTCCAGGTTCTGTCATTGGCTGTTCCCTACAGGCCTTGGTCACCCACCCACCCGCAGGGCTGTCAGCATTGGTGGATGACCTGTGTCCCACAGTGAGGATGGGGACAGCATTGCCTTGTCTCCCAGAGCGTACACGAAGACTCTGTGGAACAACTTTGTCACACTCAAATGCAGCGCGTTGCAGGCTAATATGCAAGTTCCTGGGCCCTCTGAACTTGGGGTGGCGGCACTTGGGGTGGAGCCTGGAGAAAGGGATTTTTTTTTTTTTTTGAGACAGTTTCGCTCTTGTTACCCAGGCTGGAGTGCAATGGCGCGATCTCGGCTCACCGCAACCTCCGCCTCCTGGGTTC